TGAGAAAGGATTAGGGATTTGCAAGTGGATGAGAACAAAGAATCACAGCAAATGGAGTTTTGGTAGCTGCAAGGCAACAGTGTGCTGGATGTGGTCTAAATGCAGATTCCTGTAAAACAAATGGAAAAACGAGAAAAGCCCCAACACAAACTGGAAGCGAAAGCGGGAGGGAATGCAGAACGGAAGGACAGGATGCGCTTAGAAACCAAGGCAACATACGGGTACAGGAAGGGCCATTGTAAAAAGGTGTGACAACTCTCCCAACAGCCTTCTATTCTATAACAAAAGGTTACAAGCCACTGAGATAAGCCACCACACCTTAACACCTCTTTAGGCAGTCTTGCTGATCTTTCAGCATGGAGGCCAAGAACACAGGAAGGAAGAGATAGAAGGGAAGAGATGGAAGATGCAAGGACAATAGTGACATGATGGGTACAGCACATGGGTGTGTATACAAGCAGCTGTTCAAGAACTTAAAGGTAAAGGTTCCCTTGCTCGAAAGCCAGTCGAATCCGACTCTAGGGTTGCGGTGCTCATCTCCGTTTCAAAGCCGAAGAGCCAGCGCTGTCCGAAGACGTTTCTGTGGTCATGTGGCCAGCATGACTAAACACCTAGGCGCACGGAACGCTGTTACCTTCCCACCGAAGTGGTACCTATTTATCTACTTGCAATTTCTTGCTTTCGAACTGCTAGGTTGGCAGGAGCTGGAACTAGAGACGGGAGCTCACTCCGTCATGTGGCAACTTGGGTCTCAAACTGCTGAACTATCGACCTTCCACAGCCTGCAGTTCAGCGTCTTAACCACTTGAGCCACCGCAGCTCCTTTCAAGAACTTAGAGGAGGACATATGGAATATATAATGTGTTATCTAGGGTTGCCAACTCTGATGTGTTTGGGGAGGGAGCACAGCAGGGGATGTGATGTCACAGAACCCATCATCTTAACTTGGCATTTCCTCCTGAGCAACTATGCTGGAGAATTGCAGTTCCAGAAGGAACTCCGCTTTGGTTGTCGTACCTTGTCTCTGCCACCTGGATCTGCTTTACAATTATTATTTCATTTATTATATCTGCCTTTGAAGAGTGCTGACCTCCCTAATGCCAGCAGCAGCTACCAGAACAATGTTCCCCCAAAATGGTGAAACAAGTTAAGGCCATTTGGAGCAGCAAAGCCACAGAGAATGCCACAGTTGGATCTGCTTGCTTTCAAGGGCTCCTAAACTGGATGCTGGTTCTTCCCAGCCCAGAAGCCAGAAGAACCAGCACCCAACCCATGTCCCTCATGCTGAAAAATCTGCCTAATGTGGCAAAAGGTATTTGGTGCACCATCCATATCTAATTAATTTAGGAGCTTAATGCCCTTACTTACTTCATAGCCCTGCATTTTATGATGTGTATGTAACAAGAACGGTAGATACAAATGTAACAAGAATGATAGATACAAAATCAATGCATGCACAACTGTAATTTTTTTGTCTACTGTTATGTTCAACTGTGTGATACATAGTAACGGACTTAATATACCTATGGAAACAATGTATGGGTTGTTTGGTAGCTTGAATGAGTGTTTTCAAGACAGGCAAGATTTGCACTACACCAGGGGTCCACAGACCTTTTTGAGTCTGTGGGCACATTTGGAGTTCTGACACGCCACAGTGGGCGCAGCTACAAAGTGGCTGCCACAAAATGGCTACTGCAGAAGGCGGAACCAGCAACAACGTGATTGCTACAGCTTGACTTCAGTCACACAGTGCAGATCCTTGTGCTGCGGTGGCAGCTGCCACCAAAGCAACATTTTTTTAAAAAAATCTGCACAGCCAATCAGAAGCCCTGCTGGGCAAAAGCCCTACCTGGCCCCATCCACTTCCTAAAAACACTTTGGTGGGGCACCAGAAAAGGTGTTGGGGGCCTCTGCTCTACAGTACATCATTGAGGCAGCGTGTGGCATTTTTGGCTTTTTTCCAGCATATAAACAGCATTGGCTGCAACTACACACACTAAATAATCCACTTTCAATGCACTTTCCAACCAGATTTTGCCAGCTCACACAGTTAAATTAGGGTTCCCAAATCCCCCCGGGGGGGTGGATTTCCCCCCGCTTTTCAGGCCCGATTTCCGCCCCCACGGAACCGGGCCTGGGGGAAACCCAACCCCCAGGGAAAACATAGAGTTTTCCCCTCAAATGGCTGTGGCCCCACCCCCAGCGTGCCCCACGTCTGTATGTCACATCCGGGTGGCGCGCATGCGCTTTGCGCGCACACCCTCCAGACGCCGGGCAGGAGCCCCCCGCCGCCAGGTAAGATTCATTTGGCAACCCTAAGTAAAATCCATTTGGAAAGTGGATTGAAAGTGGGTTATTTAGCGTGTGTGATCGTATCCACAGAGTATCAAGTGTGTGGCAAAATAAATTTAAAACACAATAGATGTAATAAGGGTGTGGTTTGAAGAGAGTATTTAGGCTGTCATCCTGTGGTGGTGGGGACTTCTGCATGTTTGATCTGAGGCTATTTGGGAAAGTGTATCTTCCATCTAACTTATGTGTGGGGGGGTTATTCACTTACTAAATTATGGGATTCACTGTGTGTGGGTGTAGTGATAGCCAATGTTCCCTCTAAGTTGTGGAGTCTCGTGAGCAGAAATTCTACTTTGTGAGCGACTGCCATTAAAGTTGTCAGTGAGCAATTTGGCTGCTGCATAAATCAGTTTGCTCTGGAGCCATCCCTTCCTGAGCAGAGACAAAAATGTGTGAGCCGGAGGCTAAAAAACTGTGAGCTAGCTCACACTAACTCAGCTTAGAGGGAACACTGATGATAGCTTTAAAAAGGGATTAATGGGGGAGGGGTCAGTGACTATCCATCGATGGCAGACCTCTGACCACCAGTGCTAGGAGGAAGAATCAGGGGAAGGCCTTGGCCTCTGTGCCCTCCTGATCTTCTGGGACAACTGTTTGGACACTGTGTGACACAGGATGCTGTAGAAGGCTGTTAGTACAGGTAGTAGTGGCAAACTTCCTCAATAATTCCCCCCTGGTATACAATAACAGTTCAAACCATATTTTTCTTTCCATTTCATTTCTGAAGTTCTTTTAGGGGCTATAGTCTTCAGATTTAAAAAAAATGAAACTAAGAGCACTGTTGCATCAGACCGATAGTCCCTCAGGTCTGGGATCCTATCCCCACAGGGTCTACCTACAGAGTACAGAGAACACAGCTCCTCTCCCCCAGCCCCACAACTAGCCTTCTAAGGCACGTTGTCTCTGAGCATTTAATTTAGCCAGGATGGCTAATAGCTCCTGACTGATACTGTCTTCCATGGGTTTGTCTAATCCCATTTTAAAAATTAATCACTGACTCTGCCCATTATCACATCTTCTGCCAGTGTCAGTTATAGGTTAATGTCTGTCTTGCACTTACAGCCCATTATCTAGAATAAGTGTCCCAGAATCCTAACATTCTGAGACGATAAGAAAAAGCTCTAAAGACTTCCTTCACACTCTGCATAATGTCATAAACTTCTACGATGGCTCTTCTCCCCCCTTTTATTTTCTAACCCTCTCCCCCCCCCCCCCCCTTTATTTTCTAAGGATAGTGGCAAGGGTGGCCAGATAAGATAGATGGATTTCAACAGGGTACAGCCATCTTTCCTGTCCTAAAGTCATTATATAAAAGGGTGGAAATAAAGACCATCCAGTAGTCTCTATAGACTGCAAGCCGGGTGGTGGAAAAAAATCTTCTGTGAATGCCAAATCTGCTGAAGGGCATGTGCTGGGAAGTCTCTGTCTGAGATCCATTTCTTTCTCTTGGCCGTTGTGGAACTATATTGGAGGGAATGAGTTTCCCGCGGACCATTCTGCCCAGACACCTGGCATAGACACAAACAGTTCTGCTCCAACCAGCGCTTCGTCTGGAGGCGGAATTTCCTGAGCCCTTTCCATGCCGTGTTTTTCTGCCCTCAGAGGGGCAAAGTGACAGCTCCTCAGAGGCGCCAATGGAGAAAAGCAAAACTTTAGCGCGGTTCTCATTTCACAGCAGCGTCTCATCAAATTCGGTTCTTATCGGATAGGAAAAGGTGATTTGGGGAGTTTAAAAAACTTTTTTTAAAAAAAAAAATTTGCCAGGAAGGGGAGAGGGGATAAGCGGTCCAGTATGCGCTTTTCCGTATTGCAAATGGAGAAGGGAAGCTATTATGCCCATAGTGAGGCTGGGTATAGTGCAGTGTTTGCATCTCCCTATTGCAAGATTTGGGGAGGTGGGAGCAGAGATCGACAGTGGCTCAGAACAGGAGCAATACACACTCGCGCAGATGCAGCTCTTCACTGCGCTAATGCATGCCCACGTGTTATCGAGATGCAGACGATCGCAATAAATAAAAAAACATTTCACGTGAACTCATGTCGCTAATAGAGTGCTTATGTCTCAATCACCACACAGGTTGAACCCGGACAATATAGCAGAAACAAATAGGCACCTTTTACTCCACCTTAAATGTTCATGGAGTAGAGCCCACATTTTCAGAAGCAGTGAATCGATCCTCATGCAGCACCCCCCCCCGCAGGCCCCCCCTGGGATTATTGCAGCACAGAAGAGGAGATCCTAGACAGACGGCGTGCTGCACAGGGGAATCTGGTGAAAATACCGCCTCTGTTGCGCTCGATTCGCCGGATTGCAACACAGCCACGCTGCGCCCTAACCCCGGAACTCTGAACCTCGGAAACTGGCAATCTCGTATATAACAGGAAGTGCGGAGGCACGTGTTTCTCTCTCCCCCGCCGGTCTCTATGGTTCCTAGCAGCAGCCCTATTCCATCACACGCTCCCGGGGCCAGCAATCAGGCGAGAGGGCTTGCGGGGTGCCACGCGGGAGAGAGCGCGATCCGAATCGGGTCCCAGGTAAACGCACAACCGGGCTGGGGCCAAAGGAGATTGCTTACCCGGGCGATGCCTTGACACGCCGACCTGGATCTCCTTGCACAGCAGTTCCCAGCAAACAACTTTTTCCCTCCGCAAACGCGTCCCGAGACCGGCGTCCTCCGATCACTCCCTACTAGGTGTTCAGAGCGGTACGAATCTCTTGCTTTCCCGTAGTCCGATCTTGGGCTTTCTCTCCCTGCCTGCTCGGCACTTTGCCGATTGCGATGTACTCACCTCGTGGAGCCTAATGCAGATGATCCTAATGTGCCCTTTCCTAGTGTGTACATGTTTCCTTCTTCCTGCAGTCCATGATGCACGCACGTATCTGCTCGTGTGCCGTGGTAATACGCGCATCCCTGTTCCAACAAGCTCATCTATCAACCTTATCGATTCGTACGATTTACTTAAACAGCTCACTTTCCTTAATGCGTTTGTTGTTGCTGTGTGCCATACGCGTGCGATGCCACAGAGCGCCTCTTTATTTCTGAGGAGTTCGTATTGTTCCCCTTCTGATTTTTACAATCGTTTCCTCCACTTACTTGTTTCCTTTTATAATTCTTTCCTCCACTCCATTTCGTCCCAGTTTCTCTTCTGTGTTACGAACACCAGAAACGAAAGTGAAAATCGTAGGCGCGGTTCCAGGCTAAATTTACACGCTCCAGTTCTTCGCTCTGTAGGGTTGCTCTATGCTGATCTCGGTGAGCTTCGGCTGCACCAGGAGCATCTGAAATGGGGTTCAGATCTGAATTTGGTGAGCCTTTGGGTAGGGGGGAGTATTGTGGATTTAGAGTGTTGTACTACGATCTGGTAGGAAGACAGGAGGGGCCTGGCGTGAGGTGGTGCGTGGGGTCGCTAAGAGTCGGACTCCACTGTGCGACTGAACAACAACTACGATCTGGGAGATGCTGGTTCACATCCAGGGCTGGCCCCAGCTTATTTTGCATCCTAGGCGAGGATCCCTTCTGGTGCCCCCCCCCCGTGCGCCCACCATTTTTCAAAAATAAATGCATTTTAGGAAGAATGAAAAACACAAATAATCAAGAAACACCCAGAGTACGGGGCCGGGTGCAGTTTGGCGCCCCTAAGGGCCAGCCCGCTCTAGGCGATTGCCTAGTTCACCTAGTAAGTGAGCCGGCCCTGTTCACATCCTCACTCTGCCGTGAAAGTTGCTGTGATTCTGTGCTCACCACTTTCTTCTAGCCCAGTTTACAACCTCTGTGCATGCAGTAGGAGCCAGAGTGATGTAGTAATGATTAGTGTGTTCCTGGATTAAGATGACCCACGTTCAGGTTCCCACCAGCTGTGAAGCTCGTTAGGTGACCATGGGCCAGCCACAGTATTTTGGGGAAGATAAAACGGAAGAGGGAGGAACCTGTGCTGTGCCAGCTACACTGGTTACCAGTGTAGTAGCGAGTCATGTTTAAGGTATTAGTATTGACTTTTAAGGCCATCAGCGGTCAGAGACCCATGTACCTTCAGGACTGTCTCCCGTATGTCCCCAGAAGAACACTGAGATTGGCAGATAACAACCTGCTGGTGATCCCCACCCCCCAGGGAGGTCTGGCTGTCCTCAACTAGGACCTTCTCGAACCTGGCCCCAACCTGGTGGAACACTCTGCTGAATAACACCAGGGCCCTGTGGGATCTGATGCAGTTCCCCAGGGCCTGTAAGGCAGAGATGTTCCGCCAGGCTTTTTGAGAGCCAGTTTGGTGTAGTGGTTAAGTGTGCGGACTCTAATCTGGGAGAACCGGGTTTGATTCCCCACTCCTCCACTTGCACCTGGCTGGATGACCTTGGGCAAGCCATAACTCTGGCACAGCTGTTCTTGAAAAAGAGCAGTTTCTGTCAAGAGTTCTCTCAGCCCCACCTACCTCACAGGGTGTCTGTTATGGGGAGGAGAAGGGAAAGGAGTTTGTAAGCCACTCTGAGACTCCTTTGGGTAGTGAAGGGCGGGGTATAAATCCAATCTTTTCTTCTTCTTCTTAGTTGAAGGCAGCAATGGGAGGTCAAGACTGTTGCCCCCCATGTACCCTTCCCTGCTCTGCCCTGTGGAACAGTGGTGTGGCTGACAAAGGAAGAACTGTATTGCCATCTTGGATAGGTTTAATTTACTGTTCTGTTGGTGTTCTTAATTATGCATTAATTGTATTTTTAAATATTTTACAAGGTTGTAAATCACCCAGAGCCTGCTTGCAGGGGTGGGTTGTTGTTGTTGTTGTTATTGTTGTTGTTGTTATTATTATTATTATTATTGATGATGATGATGATGATAGCAGCCGTAGACACCATCCTGCATCCCCCAAAGGAAGGGTGGAATACAAATTCCTTCAATAAATGAAATTTGTGTCCTAAAGCAGTGGACTTCTACTCTTCCAAGATGTCTAGGTGGCAGTCTGGGTGCTGAAAGCATGTGACACAAAGTCATATGACAGGAGAACAAGGAGCAAGTATTAAGACATCCAAAGAGCTGGGGTATTCCATACCGCAAAAGTGGATGAAGCAGAGACTGGGGGGGGGGGGGGGGGTGGGGGGATAGCAGTGAGGCTAAGGGAAGCTTCAGTGAGGCTTCTTGTACTAAGGGAGCTTTGGTGAGGCTTCTTGTACTAAGCTTCTGAACTTGTTGTACTAAAGAAACATCCTTTCCTCGACTTCATGACATGCTTCTCTGCATATGCAAACAGTGATGATGGTGGGTGGCTGTTTCAAAAGGAGCAAAGCGTAATGGATGCGTTAGGGGTTGCAACCTGCAGGTGGGACGCTGTGATCAGCAGAGGGTTCTTACCCATGAGCCCACATCCATTGCCCCAAAAGGATGTGTACTAATGGCTTGTTAACTCCAGAACCAGATGCATAAATAACTTGACAAATGGTAACTGAGTGCTGAATGGCTGTTTTCTCTTCCAGAGCAACTATAAGGATGTCTTCTTTAACGCTAAAAACAACGGCAGAAATGTTACGGAGGCCGCTGCAACAGGTAACAAATCCGTTTGCTTTGGCTACAGTTTTTAAGTGATGTTGAAGTTATGTATAGCAGCATCAAGAGGACCTAAATTTGCTTTAACTGTGTGTTTCTAGCCCAGTAATTGTGTTTTGGCTATGGGCTTTCTTTCTGGGTTGGCGGGGAGGTACTAGGTAGTCTGGTGTTTTTTAAGTCTGAGATGAGCTCCATTAAGGCAGTGCGCAAACAGAGAATAAAATTGGGGAAGAAAGCCAGAAGAAAGAGAGAAGAAACAAAGGGCAGACCTGATGCAAGTTGAAAGGGCTGGAGGAGACTTTTCGGTATTAAGGATCGTCTGTGTTGCAAGCTTAGGGTTGCTACCTTTCTTCTAACAGGCATAGGCTGTCCCTTCTGTTGACTGCTTGATGACAGCAGTCAACAGGTGAAGATTGTTCTATCAAAGGCTTCTCCTACTAATTTCTACCTTGTGTGTAGCCGTTTAAAGACATGGAGCCTTTGTGTCCCCAAGTTGGTGGTAGAAGAAGAAGAAGAAGAGATTGGATTTATACCCCGCCCTTCACTTGGAGTCTCAGAGCGGCTTACAAACTCCTTTCCCTTCCCCTCCCCACAACAGACACCCTGTGAAGTGGGTGGGGCTGAGAGAACTCTGACACAAACTGCTCTTTCAGGAACAGCTGTGCCAGAGCTTGTGACTGACCCAAGGTCACATCAGCAGGTGCAAGTGGAGGAGTGGGGAATCAAACCCGGTTCTCCCAGATTAGAGTCCGCACACTTAACCACTACACCAAACTGGCTCTAATCAAGCAGCCTGGAGACCGGTCTATGAAATATGACTTTCGTTTGCTATATGTTATGTAGAACAAAGAGCTTTTAAAAATTGCTCACCAAGAATATTATTTGCATGTCTTTGGCATTCCTCCCCTGTTTGGGGAATTTGTTTTCTTGGATCCCTACAAATATGTTAAGTGCCTGGGTGGAAGCTGTACTCATGGGGATGCTGTGTGAGCCTAGGAAAGTCTGAGAATGGTCAGGGAAGAAGGGAAATGAAGTTTGGTGCTTAGGAGAGGCCCAGAGAAATAAGGGGAAGAAGGTCAACCTGGAGGAGGAGAACTAAATTTTTGAATGCTGGATCAGCCTTCTGCCTCCTTGTTCTTTCACAGTCTCTTTTCCTTGTGGGCAGAGACTGGAACCACCCCCCTGCCCTTTTGAAATTGCTTGTTTTCAGCAAAGATGCATACTGCAAAGAATGGGTGGTGTTTTATGTTGTGTGTGGTGTGCTCCCACTAGCTCTGTTGTGCCTAGACTCATGTCCCCCTTGTACCAAAACCTGCCTGTGATCATTCACGAGTCATTTCTCCAGTTCAGAAGAAATTCTCATCATGAATGTGCTACTCAGGAAGGAGGCACCCGTCTAGATACCTTGATCTGCCTCACTGTGGCCACAGAGTGAGCTTTTTCAGTGGTGGCACTTTGCTTTAGGTACCAACATTTCTGGGTAAAAAGCCAGGCTTTTCACGAAGGGTTTTTAAAAAATCTTTTTTAGTTGTTTTATGGCCTACTTCATGTCCGAGCACCATTCTATCAATGTCATTTTATGCTTCTCAGCATTTGTTTTATACCCTACCCTGTTTTTAGTGGTTTGTTTGGTTTGGGTTTAGTTTTGTTTCGTTAGGCAGTGTGATGCAGTGACAAAAAAGCCTAATGCAATCTTGGGGTGTATCAACAGAGGCATAACATCCAAATCGAAAAATGTCATAGTCCTGCTGTACACTGCGTTGGTCAGGCCACACCTGGAGTATTGTGTGCAGTTCTGGAGGCCTCACTTCAAAAAGAGTGTGGACAGAATAGAGCAGGTACAGAGGAGAGTGACAAGGGTGATCAGGGGCCTGGAGACCAAGCCCTATGAGGAAAGGCTGAGGGGCTTGGGAATGTTCAGTCTGGAGTAGAGGAGGTTGAGGGGGGACATGATGGCTCTCTTGAAGTATTTGAAGGGCTGTCACTTAGAGGAGGGCAGGGAGCTGTTCCGGTTGGCAGCAGAGGAGAGGACTCACAATCATGGGTTTAAATTAAGGGCAAGAAGGTACTGGCTGGATATTAGGGAAAACTTTTTTACAGTAAGAATTGTTCAGTATTGGAATCAGCTGCCTAGGGAGGTGGTGAGCTCCCCCTCACTGGCCGTCTTCAAGCAGCAGCTGGACAAACCCTTGTCAGGGATGCTGTGGGCTGATCCTGCACTGAGCAGGGGGTTGGACTAGATGGCCTGTATGGCCCCTTCCAACTCTGTGATTCTATCTTAGCCATCTCAACCAAGTCTTTGGAGAGACAGCATATCATTTTTCTAAATAAATCATGTTTGCCTTTTGTTTTCTTTGTCTAGGTGTTCCGTCAGTTTGTAAGACACGAGTCTGAGTTTACAACACCCTTAGTTCTTGAAAGGTGTAAGTAGCTTTACTTTGGGGAAATGGCTGCCTTCTATGCATCTTTTGGCATTGGGGAGGGGACGGTGTGGGCAGCTGGGATTTTCCTGTGTAATGTTAATTTTTTTAATGTCATTTGTTGTCCGCCTTTCTCAGTGAGACTCAAAGAAGATTACATAATGTCAATGGGATGAGGAGACATTTGACAAACAAACTAAGAGGGCTAGGAGGGCAGAAATCTGATACAAGGCATAAATATTAAATGTGAACAGTGCAAGAAAAGGTATTATCTATGTAGAAATATCAGTGAGAATAAGATTAAAACTATACAGCAATAGATAATACACCTTGGTAATACAGTGACCTGGCCCAGCGTTTGCCTCAGACGCTGTTTGTGGAAGAGGCAAGGAGCTCATGTGACAGGGTGTGGCTTCAAGGCCCTGAGCAACACATGAGGGAACTTAAAAACGGCAGTCTGGACTGCTCCTCATTTCAGAGGTAGCCAGGGGTGAACTGGTGACTGGAGGGCAGAGGAGTGCAGTCAGGGTAGTTGCTTCCTGGCTGATAAACAAGAACAACACTCAGAAACAACACTCAGAAATACACACACACACACAAACATACATACGGCCCAGTGTTCCCTCTAAGCTGAGTTAGTGTGAGCTAGCTCAGAGTTTTTTAGCTTCCGGCTCACACCTTTTTGTTTTCGCTCAGGAAGGACGGCTCCCGAGCAAACTAATTTATGCAGTAGCCAAATCACTTGCTCACAGCTTTAAGGCCAGTAGCTCACAAAGTAGAATTTTTGCTCACAGGACTCCATAGCTTAGAGGGAACACTGCCCTTTAGTCTATCAGACCTCTAGAGTTTCTGCCTTTCAATTGTAATAAAAATTGAAGTGTAAGAATTAAAATAATAGTTAAATAGAACTTTAAAAAATCAAAATAATAGCTAAATAGCCGTTGAGTCCAACCCCTGTGGCAGGGGTGTAAAACATAAGGCCCATGGGCTCCTACCTGGCCCCAAAGCAACTGGCATGTATAGAAATAAAAGGTGCTCCCCCTTTGAACCCCCCCCTACATATGGTTAAATACATTTATTGGGCCTTTTTGCACTCCCCAGTAAATCAGTTGTTTTTACTGCTAGTAATAAATTGATTTTGTTTGTATTTTGAGTAAAAATAATGTTAATTGGGTTGGCCTGTGTCCTTTATAAAGTTTAGATCTCCGGTGCCTGACATTACATTTTATGGCACGCATGGGCTGACCCAACAAAGTGACATTTATGTCAGATCCAGCCCTCATAACAAATGAGTTTGACACCTCTGCCCTAGGGTACTGTGGCATTAAATAAATAGAGTAGTGTCAAATACAAGCAGAAAACACAGC